ACATTATTTCATCCTGATGAATTTTTATTGAAAAAAAAACTTTCTCCTCAATTAAAATTCAAATGGTAAGAGATTATTTCCGTTTTTTGGAGAAATAGCGCACAAAATTTACGCAGCATTATTATTATTATTATTATTATGATTACTATTATTATGATTACTATTATTATGATTACTATTATTATGATTACTATTATTATGATTACTATTATTATGATTACTATTATTATGATTATTATTGTGATTATTATTGTGATTATTATTATGATTATTATTATTGTTGTTATTATTATTATTATTAATATACGAATTTATTACTATTGTTATTAAGATGAAAAATATTTAAAGCTTGAAATTTTCTCCTGATACTTGGAATTATGAGAAGAAACTTTAAATTTTAACATCAGAGTAATTAATTATATTAAAACTGCTCACCGTCTCGTGCATTCTACATAAAATCCATATTGCATATTGACTGGTCGTGATTCGTGATTACCACGTAATAAAGTAACTGTATCCGGATAAAGTACCCAAAATTATAAAATTAGTCAGCTAATCGATAGTGTCATTTTTTGTTTAAAAAAATATAAATATAATATTATCCTGACTAATTTGCATATTTGATCATCGTTTTATCGTACTTATAAAAAAAAAAAAAATTTCACAAAAAATTACAACGATGATGATACTTTATAAGCAAATAGCAATACGATCACTTCAAGTGAATATGGACCGCGATCAACATAATCACCGAGAAAGAGATATTTCTTATCAGGTGGAAAACCATTGAGAGTGAATAATGCGATAAGATCTTCAAATTGTCCATGTATGTCGCCCATAACATTTATTGGTGGATTTAGCTTTAAAAAAGTTATTGAAATTAAACAGTTTAGAAATTTTAAATTATGAAAAAATTTGAAAAATGTGTTATTCAAATAGTCATACATTAAGAATTAATAATATCAGCTATTCCAAGAAGTACCAGAAATAGTTTTTGCTTAATAGATGATAAAGGTCAATGCTAGTGCATTCAATTAACTCAAATTTGAATATAATTTAATCGGAAATCGCAAAACTACAACAGAATGGATCAGCATCGTAAATACTTTTGATTTAGCGTATTTCTGGCCTAATATGCAATAATTCTATTAAATCGATTCACTGCCTAAATTGAAAAAGCCTGCAGCAAATTCGATTGTAGCTTAATAATTTAAAATTTTATTTCACATCCATTGAACTGGACTATGACATTTGATCACTGCAAATTTAAATCAAAAATATTGACTCGTATGATTTATTGAGATCATTTCAAATTTCTACTAAGATTAATAACTTATTTGTTATTCCAATAAATGTTATTATATTTTATTTGCTGCTACAACAAATATTGTTATGGCAATTTTAATACTTCAATAAGAGCTGGTTGCATCCAAAACATTTCACGTGCTCGATAACATAATTCGATAAGTTCACTTTCGGTAAAAAGTGATTGACATTTGGCAGGCTCCCATTCTTTTGTTAATTTGTCCACCACCGTTTGTAACCATTCTTTAACCTAAAGCATCTTATCAAATTAATTTTAAACTTTCATAATTTTAGGCACTGATTTCCACTAAGACGTTTAATTAATTTAAAACTTTCATATAAGCATTGATTTCTGCTAAGACGTCTAATTAATTTTAAATTTTCATAAACCTCCAACAATTTCATGTTTATTCAATTACAACA